TTTCATGTTCTTCCAAACAGCCTTAAGTTTATAACAGTAATTTAGTTAAATACATTGTAAGAAAAAGCTCATCTTTAAACCTTTGATTTAATTACAGACTGAATCACAAATTACCTGGTTATGATGAAACCAACACCCATGTGCTTGGGCTCCAGGAAATTGAGACACCAAAGCATCCCTTAGTGCGGGTTCATAATCTGTGATGATTGTGCTCGGTGTTAAATTAGGTATCAAATTATTTTTTACAAAAGCCAGAACACAATCATACGAGTCTCGACATTTAGACTCCATCAATACATAAATAATTGGTATGGACTGAAAAATATTAAATCCCAAAATATATTATAATATTTATATTACCATACTTTCAAAAATAAAGATACCCAAGTTAAAAGAATAGGTAAGGTTAGAAGAACCCCTAACCTAACATAAGAATAAGTACTTTATAGTTTAAATAATAGCATAATAGCTTGCTTTAGCATTCAAAGTTAAAAATGAACCTTTCGTTCTAAAGAGTAAAAAAATTTTAAAGTTATAAGGATAAAAAATAGTAAAGAATATTGTTTTGGAACAATTTACAATTATGTAAGAGAAATATTTTCAAAAATGTTAGTGTTTTATGAAATAATGAGTGCATTATGTTAAAGGAAGCACTTACCTATGTGACTTACCTAAGCTACCTATGTAGATGTTAACAATTGTAATTATATTATGACTTTTAAAAACCAAATTTTAATTTGGGTAACTACTTAAAGAACAAAACATTAAAATAATGCATTTTATCCTGTTGATTGTTTAAAATAAGTATTTTAATGTATTACTATTGCTATAATTTTATTGTATACTGTATAGTTATTACAATATTTGAATACATATTTTATTGCAACTTTTTAACTCATGGACTTTCACATGAACTTGTTCGGTGGGGTTCATTATCTTCTTAAACGTATGAATAAAATACATAATTTTATTGTATGTGAATTAATAAACCAAAATATTCTTACATAGTTTTGTATCATACAATGTATGCTTAAAAGCTGTGTTCCTACATTTCTAGGCACTATTTTAAATGTTGCGTCTGCGTGTATTTCGTCAATATTATTTTCCTGTACTGCACGGATTAGAAGTGGACAAGCAAATACCACACTTCTATTACCAAGGGTATCAATTACGCTACCTCTAAACATAGAACTGGTGCAGCATGCAAATCTGGGGATTGGTTCATTATCAAAATATGCAGCTAGTTCATTCAATGATGTTGGTGTCCGAGGCAAAGAATTTCGACGTGCATGTCGCATTATACTTTCTGCAGTCTTCCATGGGTATAATGCTGCAGCAACATTATGCCTGTATATTTAATTGATATAAAAATATTAATTAAAATTTTTATTATTACCGCAATATAAATGTATTTAAAATAATATGTTATATTACCTTTGGCACTCTTCATCATATATATTTTTAAGAAGCTGGTTTTCATTTTTAGCCCTAGTCTTGAGGATGTCTCTAAAAGCATTAACCAACTCAACATTATCCTGG